CCCCAAATCCTATATTTCATAATCCCATATCACTTGCTGCAGTGATGTTGTGAAGCAAAGTAAACATAAGGGTGGTTTTTTTCTAATTTATGCTAATAATAAAACACGTAGATCACAGGGAAGGTAGCTTAATTTGAAATAAATAATATTAAAATTACTAAGTCTTCTATGATCATGGGGAACACTTGGAAACACGTTCCCATGCTTCATGCTGTATCTCTCTAGAAGTTTGGGATTGGCATACTTGTGAAAGAAGTGTCTAGTACTAAGTTCTTGTGTAAATAACACAGAAATCTATGTTAATGCTCACTTTCCTGAATGAGACTACTGTGGTGGTGTAAGAATTTTATTATTTTATATATGTACATATATAATTTAACTGTATCTTTAATCAAAAGCAGGAAAATGTGAGCTGTTCTTTAATTTCATTTAATATACTTTTGATTTCTGAACTACTAAGAAAATCCTAGTCCCAGGCAGTAGATTATGACATTAAAAGGACAGTAAGGGAAATTAAACCACCCGGGATCCTGCGTTATTATACAGAACAATTCCACTGGTTTGCAGAATTGTGGAACTAGCATACTTAGTTTTGTGCTAAGTGGCAGGAATTGGGACTAAAGTTCTGCAGTAGTACTTGTGTGCTTGATTGTAGTTCCTGCTGCAGAGGAGAATGCTTGAAAGATGGTTTGAAGATGCTTGAAAGTCTGTATCTTTGCAACATACTTCACTTGAAATCAAAAGGCTAGCCCATTTCATATAGCTTGTGAACTGAAGTAAAAATTTGCTCAGGTGGCTGCTAAATAAGAGATTGTCAGAAGCTCTTTGGGTATCTTTATCCGTTTAAGTGGAAGTTAGGTACTAAGCAGCTTCTGAAAAACCTTGCTCTCTTTCTCTGATAGTTTAGTGTCCTTGTCCCAAAGGAGAAAGAAATTGTCACTTTGATTTTGTAGTGTTCAGCATTCAAGACAGGTACTGATGTTCTAGGCAGTAATGAGCTTCATCTTTTTTCTGACAAAATAATTCAGGCCTCCAGTGCTATAGAGTATGCTGAAGTGAACCAAATCTCTCTGCTGTGCTCTTTCTTGCGAAACTGTTTGGTTAGTTGCAGTAGCATCTGATTGCATCTCGCCACCGTATACCAGTTGCATTTGAAATGCCTAAGCATTTGAATTACAGTATCGTTCAGCTCCTGTACAGTCTACTAAAATAGCTTGTCCTATAACTAACTTTGTCAACTAATGTATTTGAAGTGCCAGCATTCCTGGTCTTTTTAATAAAGAGATATTTGAGTTGTAATATGTGACACTTGAAAATTCGAATTTAACTTGAATACTTTTCTAATGATGCCACCATCCCCTTCACACACACGGAGTTTTGTAATACTATTCAGTATAGTTTTGGGAAGTTTGCCTAGAATTTATTAAGCATTAAGCAAATAAACTGAATTAAGGTCTTTACACTACTGTTAAAAACTCTGCTGAAGATGCAATATACTGTTTAAATGCCAGACTGCGCAGAAGTGGAGCAAATACAAGTTGCTATCATTATTTCTTTGGCTGAATTTTTATTTTAAGGGTTCATCTTCTGTTTTAAAGAATGAGTTTTTACAAGGTAAGAGCCTTTAAAGAACTTGGGGTATGTAGTACTAAGCTGGGAATTCAGGATCTTGTAAGGTTCTGTAACATTCAGAATTACTTCTTGTTGGTATGTGAAATAGGGACTGACTTAAAATTAGAGGCTGCAAACTGTTCAGTATCCAGAAAATGAATTATTTAATTGTAACTCATCTGTCAGAATTTGCTAAACAGATACTGCTGTTTAGAATCTTGTCTAAAATGATCCTGTTATTTCTGATTGTCTTCTAAGAGCAAAAGACAGGGTCGAGTTTTGTTACCCAGTAAAACCGAGCAATATGCAGAATTTCACCCTAAGACCCACCTTTTGTTTTTGGGTTATGAAGTAGAGGAGGATAAATTTATGTTGTCTTTCAATGTAAGTAATCATCCTTGGTTGATTTTTGTTTATTTGTTTTTCCAAAATATGAGTGCTTTAAAAGTACTGATAAAAATACCTTCCTTGGACTTTTGGTTCATAATATCTGTTTTATTTTCTTGGAAAATAAAAATGAAACAGGCTGAAAAGAGGCTCTCCGTATTTCCTGTGGCTTAGTATTTGCTTAAGTAATACTGTTTAGTAATCTTGTTACTGATGAATCTCACAGTCTCCCTTATTTTTCTCCAGAAAAGTATGGTATGAAAAGTATGAAAAATATCCCAGTTCTGTGATGAATTTAGTGACAATTCAAAATGTCTTTGCAAGCTGGAGTCTTGCTCCAGATAAGGACAGTATATCTGGATTTGGATCTTTAGTTTATTCGAAAACTTCTGGACTCTTGTTCTCCTTTGAGGTTTTTTCCTCTACCTTAGAGCTATTAGCTTATTGGTTTGAGGCTGTAACTGAATACAAGATTGAAATACACATTTTGCAATTATGACTGTCAAAGTAATACCTGATCTTTTCTTCTTGAAGGTTGCCTTGTCTGAAAGCCTTTCTCTGTGAGCATCTGCGAGCTGCTTGGGCTGCTCAGCAGTTACCTCCTGCCCATGTGTTAAGCGCTCTGAAGCGATGACAGGCACTGAATTTTGCCTCAGTAGCTAGGCAGAGTTCTCTGAGGCAAAAATTGGCATTATATATGTGTCATTTAATTTAGGTATATAGTAATACTAGAGTCTTAAAACCAACGATTTGTACTGAAACACCAGCACAATACTAGACTTCATAGCCTTGCCTTGATCATTAATATGTAAGGTATACTTCTTCACTTCTTGCATGTGTTTTCATGACAGATATTGCTGTCAGGGATTGTTGGTGGAGAGTAGAAAACAGTCTCAGCTGTTTAGAGGTTTGCAGTGTGCTTGAACTTCTTGTTCTTTTCCCTAAAATGGTGACTGAGGTAAGCTCAAGTTGTGGTAGGAAAGAAAATATTCTCATAGAGTCATAGAATCTTTGAGTTGGAAGGTACCTTTAAAGGCCATCTAGTCCAACCCCCCTGCGATGAGCAGGGACATCTTCAACTAGACTAGGAAGCGCAGAGCCCCATCCAGCCTGACCTGGAATGTTTCCAGGGATGGGGCATCTACCACCTCTCTGGGCAGCCAGTGGTTCACCACTCTCACTGTGAAAAACTTCTGCCTTACCTAGTAGAGATCTGCTCTCTTCTAGTTTTGAAACCATTACTCCTTGTCCTGTCAGTACAGGCCCTGCTAAAAAGTCTGTCCCTGTCTTTCTTATAGGCCCCCTTTAAGTACGGAAAGGCTGCAATAAGGTTGCCCCGGAGCCTTCTCTTCTCCAGGCTGAACAACCCCAACTCTCTCATAATTAGACTGAGTGCAAAATTAAGGGCTTGATGCTGGCGATAATTGTGAACTCGAGGTGTGAGCTGGCTGAGGGTTGCTCTTGGTGAAATTAATTTTTGTGATCACGTACTTCTGATCCAGAACTGCTACAAAGTTTGCTTTCCTGAGCTGAGCAAGAGAATCTTGCAAGGCATGATCTTCTGAAGTAAGTCTTTTCAAGAGACCCATCTTGCCACACCTGTATGGTTCATCTGAAGTTTTATTCCTTTTTAAAGTCTTTTTATTCTGTTTAGATTTGGTTGCCTACGTAAATGGGTAGGAGAGAAAGTCTTTGCACAAGATGGTTAATATGTATAATTTGGTCTGTAAACATTTGCTATACAAAAGAGTGTTCATGTGGATTAAGATTAGGATCAGCTGGTGCAACTTCAAGAAAGGAGTGAGTGGACAAGTTGCTTGAGTTGGCTTCTTTTTTCCTCCGCTAGACAGAAATGATACTTTTGAAGAGAATTGCTTGTTTATTTATTAGATATGGAGCATTAAAAGTATTGTGATAGGAACCACCACTTAATGGAAATTTGGTCACTATCATTTTATTTTACAAGCTAGTGATCTGTGCGCATAGAAGATTGACATGCAAGGACACAACGCAAATCAGTGATAGACTGTGGTTATATAATCTGCTGATGGAGAGGAGGAGGGAAGACCAAACAGCTGCATCTGACCAAAAATAGAGGGTCTGTGAGAAGAACCTTGTGGCTTCAAGATAACTGAGGAAGAACCAAAGGAAAATGGCTATGTATCAATGCAGTCAGAGTTGCCTGGCCATTAAGAGTAACACCTTAAGGCAGTAATCCTGGGAGGCGGATATATTTGAATATATTGTGGTTTTTTCACAGTATGCTGGCTAAATGAAGCCTTGCCTATTTGCATAAAGCTTGACCAGGACGAGACCATTTGGAAAAAAACCCAACTCTCTCGTGTGCTGTTGCGAGGCAGTTGCAGTTGCACCTGATCTAATTCCATAACTTTTATGGTTTGGCATATAGTTCTTGGATCACTACATAGTGGAATGAGAATCACTATGTAGTGAGTCACTATATAGTGCAAGGATTTGCACTATTTGACAAAATGTCACTTTTTTTGTGTGTGAATTTATAGCCACACCTCACCCTCTGTCCCCTTCCCTTCCATCTGAACTATGGCCACAGTGCAAATGAAAACAAAGCCTGCGAGTTGGGTTGTGGGAGATGGGCAGGATACACCAGCATTTGTGCTAATGCTTTTATCTTACGTATTTCTGAAAATTAGAAATAAACTCTTTCATTCTACTTTTTAGTAGCCCTCTGCTTAAAATGTGACGGTCTTTTTTTCTTTTGTTTCTGTTATACAACTGCAAGCAGTTGATCATATCCCACTCAAAGAGCAGCCAGATAGGTAACATTGCTGTGAATGAGTGAGAAATTAGCGTAAATTGGGCCCGGGTCAATAGTAAGCAGCAGTTTGGCTGTTCACAGCAAAAACGTAAATACAGGAGTTGTTGCCTAAAGCTGCCCTAGTGGGCTGGGGAAGTATGTGGAGCAGACTTGGCAGTAAGCCCAGCCTGTAGAACAACATCCAAGTCCTTGCATTTGTCCAGGCATGCCATGTGGGGTTCGAATGACAGTGGAATTTAAGATGAGTGAAATGATCGGTAAGGCTAAGTAAAATTGCAAGGCAGGAGCAAGCTTATTAACAAGCCAACATTCTCCTCTAGCTTTAGTACCCGTCTGTGAGTATTCTTGTGAAATAGAACATTTAAAAAAAAAATCAGTGGAACTGTTCAAAGTCATTCAGGGAAGATCAGTTGAAATCTGCAGAACTGGTTGATAAGCAGGCTTTTGGGCTGTGTTGTGGCCGGCACATCTCATGAGTTAACTGAACAGCTGAACTTAATCATTTACGTGGCTATTCTGATTAAATGTCTCAGCTGCATTGAATGCTTATGGTTGCTTTTCAGACAAAGGATGATGGGTGTGATAGAAAACACTTTTGTCAGTTTTCTTTGGGAGGCCCAGTCCTTGTTTTTATGTACCTGGGGGAAAGAGAGAAAAGTCAGTTTTCGGGGGATCTGACTACAAACCCATGATCTTTCAGCAATAAATTCATGAAAATAGAAGTCTCGGTTTGTGTTGTGTTACGGTTTTGGTGGGGTTTTTTTGTTATTTGTGGGTGTTTTTTTAAGCAGAAACAAAAACTTAATTTGAGGCTGCATAAAAGACATTTGCAGGTAGAAACTTGAGCACATACTTACAGCTAACTTCTTAATCCCAGAAATGTAGAATCATATTATTCACATTAATATTTAGATTAGTAGCAATTGCTTGTTTAAAAAATGGCTTCTCAGCCTGCATTTTGAAGATTAGTCATCACTTTTAAAAATTAGGGATATTTTTCATATAGCAAAATATTGCTGGACAGAGTTGGATTTTTCTGTTTGCTTTTCAACAGGTCGGTGGAGAGGGTTATTTTCAAAATCTTGTACGTATTCCTTGTTGGACGTGAGTGACCTTGGATCCTTTCAAACCAAGATATTTCAGGTTTTTTTTATATGTGAGGTTATTCAAGATTTGCAGGAGGCAAATACCTTTGAATTCACTGTTTAATGAGAGTCTTCATGTTTTAGTGGCTGCTAACTTTGCTTTTTAGGAACACGTGCTGTGAGAAATGCTTTTTTTAATTCCAGATTTTATTTTTTTTAAATGGTTTTGGTAAATAGAAAAAAAGGGAAGACCACTTAAACATAAATTCAGTGATAAGCAGCATTTTTACTGCACTGGAGAGGGAGTGGGGTTATGACTGATTGTAGCTGGAACAGGGCACAAACTGTTACCTTCTAAGTAAACTTGTTTCACAGAGTAACCCGTTGTATTTTCATGTCCAAAATGAAAACATACTCTAAAAACAGAATGAGGAGCTGATAACACTTTCAGGGTGCATTCATTAACAGTCAGTACCAATGATTCACTGCTTTTGATGGCTGTATAATGGGCTGTAATAATGTCTACAATGATTTAAAGCTACTCATGTGTATCTTCGATGCTTTCTAGTTCCCTAAATCAAGAACACAAAGGACATGAGGAGATGGGGTAATGGTATGATTACAAAAGGCTTTAACGGTATCATTTGGGATGACTATACTCAAGTGACAACGCCACAAGAGAATGTGTGGTTTAATCCAAAGAACCACTAAGAAAATCTATCAACATTTTGTATTTTGCGTAGCTTTTTACAATTATGTCGGAGTCTCTGTATTTCGTCGGCGTAATTTGTCAAATTTAGGCTTTTGAGAGCAAATGCTACTGTCTTCCAAATTGCATAGCTTTTTTGGTTGGAGGTGGGAGGTTAGGCTGTTGAGGTACAGTATGTGGTGAAACCTCCACTCTTGCTGGAATAAGTGCAAGCTATTTAGGACTCTACAAAGAGATGCAAAGTTTCAGGGCTTGCATGTGGCACGGCTCTGAGGTATGCTAACATTTCCCTTGTGTTTTGAGGGTCATTCTGAAAGTTGCTGAAAAAATGGCGTTTGTGCCCTGCTTCAGCCTCTCCTTTCTCATTTGGCTGTTTGATTCTTATTTCTGCCTGTTACGCTTATTGTGTCAATCTTAGCAAAGTGAATTCAAGGTGTTTCTGATTCTACATTCATGTGAGCAGCTGGGAAAACAGGGAAGTTTCAGATTATCATTCTGGCTCATGTCAGTCCTTTGATGTACAGAGCCTTTGAGTTTCGTGCACCTGAAGTCTACATCAAAGCTGTATTATAAAACATATTGTTGAGACGCTGTAAGAATAATGATTTGAAATACTGAGTTAGCTATATGGTAGGATTGCCTGCTGTACAATGGTTTGCCTTCTGTCATGTTGTAGGACAGCTGCAGAAGTCCAGTGTAACTTTGCTGAGGTGTGAAAAGTTCCCAAACTAGTTTGTTCAGATACTATCAATACCACTTCTCAGCCTCTGTGTCATGCTCTGTTTGATAAACAGAAAGAGACATGCCCCCATTTCGGTCTCCCCTCCTCTTACTAGCAGCGTAGCTTCCGCCCGCTCAAACTCGCCTTGACTTACTGCATTCCTTTTCTACCAATTTTCACAAAAAACCCAGCCTATGTCACCTTACTCTCCTATAAACTAAAATACCCATTTTTCTTGCACACTCCAGTCTTACTTTGTTTGCTATGTCCCTACTTACGCATTCTGATCTTGGAAACTTGGGTTCTGCTCAGTGCTTGGCTCAGGACTGGAGCGTACTGTAAAGCTGGAGGTGTCTCTGTATAGAGCAGGAGGCTGCTATCAGCCAGCTCATTGGTCTTGGAAGTTGATAATTGGTAAAGGTAGGTAGTTAGGTGAGGATTTCAGTTTACAGGTACGGCATAAACCAGAACTTTGAATAACTAGAGAGCCTTTTATGGAGTCCGTTAGTTTTGCCTCCACAAAGGAAGAGTTAGGTTGTGGTTGATAAATTGGCCTGCGATACCAAGAACCTAGACAAACCTTCAGCTGGCAACTATAGCACGTAATTCCCTTACTCTCTTCTATCAGTATTTGCCTAATATCCTCACTTTACGATCAGTTGTCTTCCTGTAGGTCAGGCACAACACAACAGTTTTGGAGTGCTCAGTCTTCTCTCGGATCCCATGTCTGCACGTACCAGATGCTCTGGAACTGCAGGGCTGCAGTCCTTTCATGGGTTTTAACAACTGATCACATAGGATAATGTACTTCATCTTCAGAATGGCGGTGACAAATAGGCCGTTACTACCATGTGTTAGTAGCTGCTGCATGGGTGTATTGTGTCATTTTAAGAATCTCCCCAAAAGCCGTAGTGTATTTCTTAATATCTCTGAACTAATGAGTCATGTTAAACTGACTTTCTATCTAACACTGGGTGACAAATGAGGCTTCATCAAACTGGAGGGCAACAGCTTCCATTTTGTCTACAAGCGTATTATGCAGTAAAACACTGTGCCCTCTTGAATGACGTACCCACAGAGAAAAAAAGGAAGCAAAGAGGAACCCCGTAGAACTTGCAGATTTTTAAGGCAGAAAGTGAATATTTTTATTTTTTTAACCTGTTATGAGTATTAATGAATAATCCTAAATACTGAGCCACAAGATTTATAGTTTTCATTTAAGACCATGCTTCATAATCAACCAGAAATACCAGGAGAGCTGGAGAAGGCACAGGTATAAACAGTGCCTAGCACTTCCGGTTGCTGTTTTCTGTTCTTGTAACTGAACTTAGAATGACTAATCCTTGTTGAACCTTATAGTTGCAAGCTGGATTCTTTACCTACTTTGTACATCACTTTTTATCAACGTATCTCAAAGCAGTCTGCTGTGAAAGACTGTGAGAACTTAGAGGTTTTTTTTAAAAAAAAAAAAAAGGAAAAAAACCTCAACTGAAATTAACTCCCGCAACTGAAGTACATAATTTTCTGAAACATGCTTATGGCTTAAGCAGCTGCATTTGATTTCCATGTTTATTTAACGTATTTTTCTTACATGCCAAATAACATTTCATACTGTTATTGGAACTTAATTCCGGTATTTCAGGGTGAAGCTCGATGTACATGAAGACAGCCATTTTAAATTAAATGCATAGCAGCCTATGGCCTAAGGGTTTGATAGTGAAAACACATGCAGTTCTTGTCCTGCTTGCCTGTTTCTCCCCATGTCCTAAAGCTTGCCATCCTGTCAGTTGTATATATACGGGTGTTTAGGTTAGTGCACTGCAAATCTGATTAGCAAAATCGTCTGGGTTAAAAATACCTCTCTTCTCATTTCCCCTCTCCCTTTGTGTGTGAGTGTGTGTGGGAGGGTAATTGCTACTGAAAAAAAACCATAACATGTGGTTACGCCCCGAGAGCCAGTATATTCTTATTTTATTCAATGTCAGTTGTAAACATTTGATATGCTGTATTATTTTCTTGCTTAAACTGCTTAAGCTAGTGCATCTTCATTATTTTTCTGCATTTCTACCGAGGATAATGAATTCTCATCGAGACTAGAATGTGAAAAAGACTAATTGATGAGCTCCCACTGTTGAGGAGATTGTACATTTCTAGTATTCTTGTGAAATTCTGATGAGCACGATAGAGCTGCCTCTAGCGTACGTGATTGACAGAAGTAAAATTTATTTTTATCCTTTTTGAGTAATCTGATATGACCATGAAACAGAGCACAAAATCATTGAAGAGGGAGAACTGCTTCCTAAAATGAGAGTTGCAAATCACACGTTTCTGAAAGCTTAAATTTGCACTACTGTTTTGTGTGTTGCTAAACTTGGTCTATAAAGATGTGTCTGCACCCTGCTCCACCTTGATACCTCAATTGTTTTCACAATTTATACTTTTTTAGTACCGTATTTGGTGGCTTACTAGTCAGTTATACTCCTTATAAACTAATGTATTGCTGTGCTTTTTGGGGGGTTTTTTGGTTGTTTTTTTTAAGTTGATGTTTAAGCTTGTAGGAAGTGTCTCTGGAGAACTCACAGGTTGCAATGGAAAACTGGAGTTAAATATCCAATTATAGAGCTTTAGTGTGGTAGTGTACCAACAAGAACTCTGATTGATTTGTCTTTTTAAGTGCACAAAAGGAAAACTATGACTATTGGGTATTTTCGGTTCTTTGTGAAGCTTAAGACTCCTCTTTCATCCCAAGAAATATATGAACTGCCGCAAATCAGTAGGATAAGGAAATTAAAAAAATGGAGCTGTATATGCCTTTTGTTCTTATTTACAGATATTTCTGTGGCATTCTTTATAATACCATCATGTTCAGAAACTTTCAGAGATAATAGTAACTGTCATGACAGAACTGAAAAACAGAAGAGGTTGTTGTTCTTTTTAAAGTTTGGGAGTGGAGACAGATTGACTTGCCTGAGAACACACATGATGTCTGTGGCAACGCTCAAGTCTTTCCTCATGCTATTTAAAGGACTTGATTACTGATCCTGTTTTTGCAGTAGTATTTTTGTAAGACCTAGGTCGTGTTGCACTTTCTTAGTACCTTATAACAACTCCTATTGTCTGAACCTGTTTATGGGCTTACAAACCTAGAATAACAAAGTGGTATGGATAATTTTGGCACAGGGCTTATGTTCAGACATTTGATAGTAATTGACCTTCCTTCTGTGGAGAAATCTGGCTCGCTGCACAGCTGCGCATATGCATGTGCCAGTACATCGCTGGGCAGTGAACAACTGGTGGGCAAGCATTACTAGTCCTGAATGTGCAGTCTGATACGGCAAATAGCAAGCAAAATGTACTTTAGGAGCAGTTGTTCTGGATATTATTTAATTATATTTTCCAGTTAGACAGCTTATGTTGAAGTGTAGTTAGCAGCTTAGTAAGGGATGAGCCAGCGTTGTTTTAATACTGAACAGGACCTTCTGTAAACTAGTCTTGTTTCCAGACAGTAGCAAATGTACATTCAAAACCACAGACCTTCTGGTGCTCATTGATAAAGGATGACACAGATGCCTGATGTGAGATGGCAATGGAAGTCTGCAGCTTTATATAGCTTATATGCACTATGTGAATATAGACCATCTGCTAACTTTTGTGATCCCTCAGTAGTAAACCTGATCTTAGCAGGGTGGGGAGGAAGGCTTCACTAAATTTCTAAAGACTCAGTGGCTTCTCCATGCATGGTAGTGTTAAAAGTCTTAGTGAGTTTAAACAAAGCTGAGGTTCTGTGCTAGCTATCCAGAAGACTACCTCCTTTGATCATAAACCAAAATTTGACGCGGTTTTGTTCTTAGCAAACATTGACTTCTTGTTTTGTTTCCCTGCCTCCTTCTAAAGGCTTACTGGAACAAATAAACTATTAATACTACTTCTAAAACTGAAGCTAAACTTATTGGCCCTTAGTTATTCAGTACTTTTTAACCTTTTATTTAGTCCAGTTTACTTTGTATTGCTGTAAACTCTGTTAGCAATTTACTCAGTTGACTTTACTAAAGAGAAGGCATTTAACACACCTGCCTTTTCAGGGTCATGACAGGCTTTTGATGTGAAAGGCACTGCTTCCCTTGGTCTCTGTATTTTGCTGTGTCTACCCTATCTAGCATCTTGCCTCATGTGCTTGTGGTAGTTTTTATGCTCTACCTTAGCCATCTGACCTAGTTTCTGTTTCTTGAATGCTTCTTTCTTATATTTTATGGTCAGTGAAGGCCTCATGACTTGGCCAACTTCACTTCTTTACTGTCTTTCCTCCCCCAATAGGATTTTGTGGATGTAATGGCTCTCTTATTAAGTAATCAGATTTCCATGACCCCATTTTCTGCGTTGGGCTTCTTCATAGCTCTTTCTGCCTTGCACTTGCCTGTTGTGAGACTTTCCTGAGACTTTGCTTACCCACTGCTTTCTCAAAGCCCTGTGTTGGATTTTTTTGAGCTATTCTCACTCCTTTCCATCTTAAGGATTGTCAACTGTTTTGATTTTTTTTTTTTTCTTGCTTCCTTCCCCCTTCCCCCTCCCCATTTCTTTCATCCAAGTTATATTCATCTTTGTGTGTTTAGTAGTTCCTTCAAATTGGTTAGCGGCCTTTTCCAGACTGGATTCTCTCTGCAGTCTTTAATAGTACAAAAATAATTATTCTACTAGACTATTTACCAATGACAGGATTTGTAAAAGGTCTTAGTGTTGTTCTTTGTATGAGCAACTAACAGGTGATTTTTTAACACCTGACTATAAGGGCAGTGTTTGTGTGTGCAAACTAAAATAAATCTACCTGTCTATTGATTGTGTCCGAAAATGCTTTTGGTGACTTAGACTTCAGAATGTATTGTTTCCAGAGTCTTAAGCATGCTTTTGGGATTTGGTGTTCATTAGGAGCCTAGAGTAAGAACTATGCATCTAGCTTCCTGTTTTTTGAGTGTGTGCGTGTATGCTGCTGGGGAGGGGTAATGGGAGAACACGGTGCCAAACTCCTTAGAAGTTGTTTGTCATGGAGAGGGACCAAAGAAGCCTGAGTCAGAAGAGTGCTCTCCTGCCTTCTCCATCTCTTCCCCAGTTCTTTCTGACTGCTGTTGATAATTCTGTGCTAGTCTGATCTCTCCACCTCAGCTCCACAGAACTTAAATTTTGAATGTATATCTGCTTTTCGTAAATCCCAGTGACATTGAAAGCGAACGAATGGTCTTAAATATTTTAACATTTCTTGATTATTGCTGCAAGAGAAAGAAGGCTGTTTGCAGTGGTGAGAGTTTTAGTACAAACAATGTGCTACTACTATTCCTAAAGCCATTAATGACACTAAATGGTTACACACAGGGCTTGAAGACTTCCAACTGCTGTTTTCCTATAACATTATTTTTTTATTATTTCAAAACTTCTGTAATTGTTTTATTTCTAAATTTTGAGTAGCTGGATAATTGCTTTTATTAGGATTGCCTTTTTTCCTCTCTTGACCTACGCTTCTAATACTAATAAATGAGTTAGGAAACAAGGACATCTGTGATCTTGCACATGAATATACTGATAGATGTGGAAAACCTGTAACTAACTCCTATCTGCATTTCATATTTTGTGAAGGTGAAACAGCGAAAAAAGGACCCCAATTAAAGTTTTAAAAAATGTTTGTTAACCTAGTGAAAGGATAGGTAAAAGCAGTTTTGACAGTGTTTGATGTAGTGAGCTTGTGTTAATTATTTGCATGCTATACAAAATCGTCCTTCACGAGTATCCTGATCCTTCTAGTGTATGCGTATTTAGAAATTAACTTATACCCATTTTTTTGTGTGCTCTTAACACGTATAATTAGTAGTTAATTATATAATTACATAATATGGATAATTGTTACCTATGGCTATAATATATATAAAATCACACAATGCTTATAAAACTACCTAGTACTAGCCTTAAATGCAATTTTGTGCCTCCTTTAATTGATAGATTGTTAATAGAGCTGCTCCCTGACCATGAACATAGGCCGTTCCTTGGTAACAGTATGCTTTCTCTCCATTTGAAAATGCTTCCTTGTTGTCTCTGAGGAGATGCTGTTTTCTTTTATTTCTGTTTTTGTTAATTTTAAGCTGATTGCTAATGACTTCATTAACATACTAATGTTTTTCATCATGGAAAGGCCTAAAATACATGGCTTCCTATCTGGATATTTTATCTGATTATGAGAGAGACTAGATTTATTTTAAAACATGTATTAATATTCTACTGATACTCAGGATTAAAAAAAATTAAAAAAAAAAAATCTAATACCCAGAGATGCAATTAATGCCATCCAGTCTGGATTTCTGGAAAATAATTGTATGAACATGATGTCTCATTGTCACATTTGACACAGGAGCATTTCAGTTTGCAGAAACTTTTATGCTTCTGCATAATATTCCCCTACTATTGGAAAAAAAAAAACAACTTTAAAAACCCCCATACAATGCACTAGAAACTGTATAATTTCAATGGTGATGTTAAATGTTAGTGATGGGTCAAAAGCTCTCAAATTGATTCAGCATTAAAACAAATTACTTAGGTTGTAGAGATGATATTGTTAACAGATTTTGAGACTAGTTTCAGTGTCTAGTGGGAATGGTCCAAGTACATTTGATTTCATCTGCTAGGAGATGATAGACTAGTGAACTACCTGAGGTCTCTTGCATACTTACTTTCTATAATTATAGAGGGAAGGATCGATTTTACAAGGGGAAAGAAACAAGAGTGGCAGCATAGTGGTTACAAAATAAAAAAAAAAGCTGTGTTTTCTGCTCTTGTTTCAGACAAATGTCTCATACTGGCAGTTAATATTGAGAAGGGGGGCGAGAAAATCTGCTTCACTTCTGTGAGACAAAGTTGCTGATTTTGTTAACTGGACTTGCACTCCTTCTCAGTTGCTTGTTTTTCTTTGGAATATTTCCTGTGTTTTGGATAAGTTGGTGAGATCTGAGAATATTTTGCTTTGTGGCCTTTATGCTGAACAACTTGTGCTCAAACTTAATGAGACTGCACTTGAAAAATGCTATTCTGTGAGATGGGCACTTGAGAGTTTTCTAAGCAACCAAAAAAGATCTTTGGAGTAAGAGTCTTCATAATAACTTTAATACTATTCTTTATTAGGCCTCTTTTGATGGAATGTTTTTAGTTGTTCATAATCTTCATTGAAGTTTGAGTCACTGTAAGTTGCTTTCTAGTGTTCACGGAGATAAATATTACGTACGTGATATTCTGGTGCTTGTAAGTGTCGCCTAGTGGGCTTGCAGAAAGTATCATAGTCCATGTCAAAAAGATTAGCTTTTAATGGATTATGAATAAAAATGCTTAATTTTGAATTTAATACAATTAATAAAGATAGTTTGAATTGAGTATTCCAGCTTAGATCCTTTCAAGATTTTAAACCCATTTTCTGCATGTATTTATATTTTTCAACCACTGAAGATGTGTATAAGCTGTGGAATCTGTTTGAAAACAAGATTTATGACTATGCTGTAGTCATAATAAGCTGTAAATATGGCTGAGGAAAATTTTAAATTAAGAATAAACTTTATTTTGTGTGGCTAGCGTAATGGGAAGTATCTAGGATGTTGAAAGCAGGCCATACCTGGGAGACAAAGGAGTTTGTTTATGACATTTTCCAAGTATTGCATTCTGACTCTGTTCCTCTCTTTTTTTTTTTTTTAATTTTGTTTTGTTTTCAGATCTTGAGTCAGATGACTGTGCGTCCATATACATCTTTAATGTAGACCAACCATCGTCCTCTGTAAATCAGCCAATTTGTATTCCTCGCCATGGATTGCAGTCTCACTCCTCTCCTCTGTCACCACCTACAAGACTTCAGAGTCATAAGAACTATGAAGGCCCTTGTGAGGTACCAGAATCCAAATATAGTCCACTAGGTGGACCCAAACCCTTTGAGTGCCCTAGTATTCAGATTACATCTATTTCACCTAACTGTCACCAAGGGATTGAAGCCAATGAAGATGAATTGCACACAAATGGCACAGAAAATGAGTATATGGAAAGGCCTTCACGGGACCATCTCTATCTTCCTCTTGAGCCATCATATAGGGAATCATCCCTTAGTCCAAGCCCTGCCAGCAGCATTTCGTCCAGAAGTTGGTTTTCAGATGCTTCCTCTTGTGAATCCATTTCCCATGTGTATGATGATGTAGATTCGGAGCTAAATGAAGCAGCTGCTCGATTTACCCTTGGCTCTCCTTTGGCATCTCCTGGTGGTTCTCCGAGAGGTCCTAGTGATGAATCTTGGCAGCAGCCTTACGGATTTGGGCATGCCTTGTCACCTAGACAGTCTCCCTGTCATTCTCCTAGAACTAGTATTACAGATGAAAATTGGCTAAGCCCTAGAACAACATCAAGGCCCTCATCAAGACCTACATCCCCCTGTGGGAAACGACGACACTCCAGTGCTGAGATTTGCTATGCTGGTTCTCTCTCTCCTCACCATTCTCCAACTCCATCACCTGGCCATTCTCCCAGAGGAAGCATAACAGAAGACACATGGCTAAATACTTCCATCCATAACGTACAAGGCCTTAATTCTGGCCTTTCACCATTTCAGTGTTGTACAGAAACTGATATTCCTCTAAAAACAAGAAAGACCTCAGAGGATCAGACTGCCACTTTATCTGGAAAAATAGATATCTGTCCTGAAGAACAGGGTAACCTATCGTCATCCCTTGAAACTGCAGTAGATGACTGCTCTGGATCTCAACACAACTTGAAAAAAGATTTGCCTGGAGACCAATTTCTTTCTGTTCCTTCGCACTTTACTTGGAACAAACCAAAGCCTGGTCATACTCCTATATTTCGGTAAGTGATTTGAAAGTCCTTCAGAAGGCTTTCCTCCCATTTTTCCCCTCCTATGCATCTTAAATAGACATATAAACATGCGTATACATCAGTGATGCATTAAGACTTCTTAAAGAAATCTTACTGTGGGCAGGTAGATGATAGAATTGGGGAAAAAACAAGTTGAGACACCAAATACCCATCTTTTTCTTTTTTTAAAAATACAGTAGGTGCATTGTAACATAGGATTGGTTCTATTTAAATAACGTTTGCATACATGCATAGAGCCCAGATGAATCAAATGTCTGCATATTCTGTGCACACTTTGCAGTTCAATGTAATCTGTGCAGTTAACATTAACATAGCTAAAGAAACCTGGCTTACATGCTTTTATAAAACTGTGAGGCCACAAAAGAGGTGGGGAGTTTATTTCCTTTTGTTTCCACTTGCTTCTTTGGGCTGATGGAATTCTAGAAATAGAAGAGAGAACATAAATTTGCATGACATACTGAAAATAATCCAGAAAGAATTGATTCCTGGTCTGTAGTTCCAAGGGTGGTGCTGGGTTAACTAGCTCTTTTTCTTTTGTGGTCCTGTCTTGTGCTAGCAGGATGATTTGTGGAGGCTTAGAAGAGGGAACTAGTTCACTTGAGGGGAAAATTCACTCTCCTTCCCGTTCTGTTACTTTTTAGATGGAGCAGTTCTGTGATCTTTCCAACCATATAGCTTCTGGAACCGCTTTGCCAGCACAATACAGTGGGTGGAGTAGAAATGAGAACTCGTTAAGCGGCCATTGCTGCTGAATGGACAGATACTGTGATTACTGAGCTCAAGTTATCCATTTGATTCCTGAACCTTTCTCTGCCAGGTTTTAAAAATAAGGGGTAGAGAGGTACTGGGAGGAAGAGCTGCAGACATTTTTTGTGCGGACATTTTGTAAGAAAGGTACATTAGATTAATGTCTGTAAAGCACAATTATCTACATAACAGCATTATTATAGGTTTAAATGTCAGTGCTTCCATGCTAGTCTGTATTGATTTTAAAATAACTTTGATTAAAATAATATCATTCTGTCCACAGGCAATGCTTAAGATTTGCTCTGCTCTTCAAGGATGTAGTAGATGAAGCAATTCCTCTTTCTTTGGGGAGTGGGGAAGAAGATAGGGTAGGATTCTCCACATATGTGCTTTATTTTGAAAAAGGCAAAGCTTAAGTTCTAAAAGTTAGTGACAAAATAGAGTGTTGTTCTCATTGCAACATCATCTTTGCAAAGCACTTGTTTTCATACTCTGTATTTTTAATTTCAGAAAGAATGGCTTAGACAATACTCATGGTTTTAACATTTTCCTCCACCCTACCACCTCCTCCCCAAACGTGAGTGAAGTAAAAGGAAGAAATGTTTCTGACCAATCTTCAGAGGTGCCCTATGGGAGACTTTTTTCACCTGGCTCTTGAGTTTTAAATTCTTAGCAGAAAGATAGAATTAACTATTGCCCAATAAGCCAAGTGTACTGTGAAGAGGTATTCTTTTCAGGGACCTCCCTCAAAAGCACAACTTGTTGAAAAGCGAATGCTGGCTTTTATGGCAACATGCTAGTTTTCATGTAATTCCCCTTTCTACTGGCTTTTTCCAAATTCAGATATCATTCTTGCATCATTTTAACACTTAATGTATTATTTCCCGATGACTTGTCAGATGACCAAACCTGTTGAAAAAACCCAATTGTTTTAAAATACCTGTTCTCATTCTCTGTTGGGTATGGGAATATTCTCCGGGCTGTCTGTCCTGTGGAATATAGAAGCACTCAGTCACCTTTTAAAGATTGCTACGGCTGACTCTTTCCACAACATGTTTTAGGTGGACAACTAGTGGAGAAAATTCAGCTGTAACTTTTACTATGGAGTACCCAAGAAGGAAGTTACCAGCACAAATGGGTGAAATATAAACCAATACTTTCATTGGTACTTCCAGTGAAACATCCTTAAAACAAATGGAAAATAAGTGAATCATAGCTTTAAGAGCTTCCCGAAGGGTAACTTCTAATGGATGCTATCAGATAGACTTCAGTGTTCATTTGAGTTCTAACAATGAACTTTTCAGTTTTACTGGTGAACATATTCCTATGTGTTGATAGATCAGTGTCTCACACAGAAGGCTCATTTTTATTAATACAAAACTTCTGTTAGTTTTAAAAATAAGTTTTCTAAAATTCTTTAGAAGTTGTCAACTAGCTTAGATTGTTAATATCTAACTATATTTAAACAGTGCTTATTCAGCCATTTTGTCATTTTTGCATAATTGTATAACCACAGATTTTAACCTCAGAAAGGTACTGATTTTATTGAGTAGAAGTGATTTTTTAAATTTTTAAAAATTTCTTTAATGTCCTCCTGCATAACCGTTCATGAATATGAAGCTTAACAGTAAAGATGCAAAGCTGCTAGCTGGAAAATTCTGTTTTACCAGATCTGAAACTACTGTATTGACAGATCTGTTAACTGTCTTGAAGTTTTCTTTTTTAAACTCTGTTGCAGTCTGCTCATCTCTTAATAACAGGTGTTCAGTCTGTTACTAGAATCTTTGCACTCTAACTCAAGCAACAGTAACTATTTTCCTTTAATTGTGTATTTTTGAATTGTAGTGTATTTACGTAGGATACTCAGCAGTCCTAACCTGGCATTTTTGTTAGCTTGCAGGATAACATAGCTCATAAAAGGTGAGTACTACTGAAAGGGTAAAAGCACATGAACATATAGGCATGTGGCAAGATGGGGTGTGGATCTATGGTTCTTTTGTAGGATGACCAAAATAGTTACAAAAATAGATACTCCATTAAACCTGCTTCCTCTTATAGTGGGAAGAACTGAGCAGAACTGAATAAAAATAAATTTTACTGTTTTCATTAAGAAATAAAAAATTTTTTTTAAATGTCAGAATTTATTTAGAAGCTGGCACTGAAGAACTTCTCTCAATATGAAATGGGCAAACATATAGAAGACAATAAAGACTACAACTATTCACCAGTAAACTAAGTAAAACTATTAAGCTGTATACATTTGCTGCCAAAAATGTAGTCTGACTATTGAATTAGTGGAAGTGGCTGCATTGGCAGCTGTATCCTCAGTGAAATGTTGCATTAATTAGTAGTGTGTAGCCTGTTCCACAGGTGCTATGAGAGTGTGCATCTTCAGTATGTTAAAATATGACATTCTGTCATGTAATACTGTATAATTTTGATGCTTATAAAGTAGGGGAGCTAAGTTTACTCTTAGGTTTTATGAACATGTCATGGTTTAACCCCAGCTAGCAACTAAGCACCACACAGCTGCTTGCTTACTCCCCTGAAATGAAATGCAAGAAGGTCCACTGTTTTTTAAGTAGTTTATGACAGTGACCAAAAGTGAGCACCTCAGTTGTCATAAAGTTAGATGTTAATTGCAATTTATATCTTTATTACATATTGTATATAGTAATATGTTCAATTGTACCATAAATTACAATATATATTACAATTAATAAGCTTTTTCAATGTTGTGTTTGTATTGTCAAGTAGAAATTAGTGCATGAAGTAAACTAGAGTATTGATTCCAAGCATATGAAGTGACTGACCAGTGTGCACACTCAGCTGCAATAAACTGACCCCTGGTAGAAGTGGGGATAACTTGCCTCACATGTGACATGGTGTGAAATGTGCAGATAGCACATTCTTCTCTGAATGCTATCTGAAGTTTTGTAAATCTGTAATCTAGTTTATCTGTCCTCACCATGCTTTCCTTCTTTCTTCTGTGTTTAGTAAGCATGTGATACTTAAGAAAATTTAAAAATGTGTAACATGCTTTTGAGCATTTTAGTCATATTCCAGATGCCATCCAAAGAATTTTGTTAGGTGACAGTTTGTTGTTTGGTCACAGAAACCAATAATCTGCCAGTGTATAGCATATGAAAGAATGTATGTGTATTATGTGCCCCGAGTCACACTTCTGCTTCCTTGTCAGAGTTAAGTTTAGACAAGTGACAATGGACAGAACCAGTGCAACCATTCCTTGCAAACAGTTAAAAGGAACTAGGTAGTGTCTTCTGTATCTAGGAACAGTGAAGGTATCTCTGTTGATGATGTCATTAACCAAGTACCTTGGCAGATGAGCACTCTTTTGATGGCAGATTAAATTGGTCATTTTACAGAATATTCAGCAATGAAGTTATTTGATAATTTTGTTACCTTGTTACTTTTGTTACTGTAATTTAAGATACCTCTTTCTTCCACCCCTTAGCCTTCCCACAGGAAAATGGATCAGAAGTTGCTTTATCTATGTGTCTCATGATTCCTTCCCCTCCACTTGGAAAATCCCTTTCTTTTTTGGATCTTAATATAGTGATTGTAGATCTGACCTCCCCATTTGCTTGTTACCCTAACATTTCATGAAGATGTTGAGTTTATGACTTTTTCTTGCACATCTACTATTAGAGCTTGAGTTTTACTCGCAGAAAAAACTCGTAGTTTGGTTTGGTTCCCCCCCCCCCCATCTCCTTAGAAGACCTATTTTTAGTCTTTTGCATAAAGTTATTTCAGATTCTTTTATTAACTGGATTCTCTTCTTCTTTCACTCCTTTCCCAAATTCTGTATTGGCTGTTGGAAGGGATACATAGATGCTTCAAGTTCACTTTCTTATTTAGATAGTCTGTGTCAGTATAGGTTATAAATGGTCTAGAAGAATATCAGAGAAAGTGTTTCTTCCTAGATAGAGTCTATTCATACTCAAATACCTAAATTTGATTCTGCTTGCCCACACTGAGGCACCATCTGGAAGGGATTAGTACGGTCATGTGAATTAAGTGTATCCTTAAATCTTTGAAATTTTGTGAAATTTCTATTTAGTAGGTATTTATAAAACCATGTAATATTCAGAAGCTCTTCAAGATCGATCCCTTTTTATTAAAGTTTTATTGTTTAGATTCCAGTCAGCCTCCTTGAGTACAAAGCTGCTCTATTAGAAAGTTGAGTAGCAAATAGTATTTTGAAGTGATATGTATACTTGTTTTACAGAAATTAATGTTCTCAGTTACAATGTATATAGTTTCTCTGTGTCTGAGCCACCTCCCCTGAGACAGGTTCACAGTTGTAAGATTTCTAGAAAGTGAAAAAAAAAAAAAAAAGAAATTGGAAAGTCTGTTTTATAATACTTGTTTTAAACTTGATCAAGGGGAATAAAAAAAAGTATAGGGATGACTCAGGAACCTCTACTGAGCAAGTAATATAATGTAATGTAATATTTTTAGTGAGGACCTGTCACTAAAAGTACAATTCACGAGACATCGGCATCTATGGTGTTAACAACCATGGTTACGGTGCTCTGGAGTTAATGACCATTACAGACATGGCCAGCACTGATGTAGATAACATGGGGCATTTTGTTAGAAGAGCAGTCAAAGATGATGCAGTTGAAAATGGTAGTGTTTCTGTTATTTTTGCTTTTAGATTTGTTGTTTTGTTTTCTTTTGCTTTAAACTTACAACATTTAACACGAATGCCTAGTGAAACAGTAGGTTTTAGGCTCTGTAAAGTAGATCTTGAGAATCTCTAATTTGTATGTCAAGCAAATGGGCACTTTGTAGGGTAGTAAACTTAATGATTCATTCATTTTTTTGTTCTTTCTTTAACCCCTGAAGTAATTGATGGGAGAAAATTGTGGGTTTGTGTCTGGTAGATAACCAGGCAATATTCATTAATGGGCAAAAATCTTGAAATAAAATCTAGTTTCTTTTACTATGTCTTCCCTCATCGAGTTCTTAGAGACTTATAAGTTGATTGAATTGTGTTGATCTGCTGGACAGGCTGGATCGATGGGCAGAGGTC